AGGTGTGGGTCCTGGGACCAGGTGTTGGGCGCGGTACCAGGTGTGGGTCACGGTACCAGGTGTGGGTCCTGGTACCAGGTGTGGGTCACGGTACCAGGTGTGGGGGTGGCACCAGGTGTGGGGATGGTACCAGGTGTGGGTCCTGGCACCAGGTGTGGGTGTGGCTCCTTCACCTCAGATTGCTCCTCGTCCCCAGATTCTCACGGGTGATACCTCCCTCGGGCCGAGTCGCTCCCACAGCCCTCAGCGCGCATGCCCAGACAGGCGCTGGGTGGAGGCGTTCCTGCCGACACGGCAGAGGGCAGGGAAACCTCTCCCTTGCCTGTGGGTTGGTGCCTCCGTGGCCTGGCGTCCCCACACCCTCGAAGGAAGCCTGAGAGTCCTGGCGCCTGTGCCCGCAGGTGGCTGTGGACAGGGCCCGGGCGCTATCGCTGGAGGGTGAGAAGCTGATCGAGGACAGGCACTACGCCGTCGACTCCATCCGGCCCAAGTGCCAGGAGCTCCGGCACATCTGCGACCACTTTGCCGCGGAGATCGGCCGGCGGCGGGAGCTGCTGGGCCGGTCCCTGGAGCTGCACGGCCTCCTGGAGACGGTGGGTGCAGCCTGCGGCCGCGTCCCCCCACAGCCCTCGCGGACAGCACGCTGAGAGCGGCCTCACGCCATCTCTGTCCTGCTGGCCGGCCGCAGTCTCCATAGGGGAGCAGGAGCGTGGCACCGCGACGGCTCCTCGCACCCCTGCCCCGTGTCCCTTCTGCACGTGCAAGTCAGGCTGCATCCCCTCTGGGCCCGGCCGCACTCAGCCCTGTAACCGTGGGCGGGCTGCGTGCTGGCGGGTGGGCTGCACACGGCCTGCGGGGACGTGACGGCGCCACCCTGACGCTGCCTGTCTGTCTGTGCCTCGTCTGCAGTCCATGAGGTGGTGCGATGAGGGCATCTTCCTGCTGGCCTCACAGCCAGTGGACAAGTGCCAGTCCCAAGATGGCGCCGAGGCAGCCCTCCAGGAGATCGAGAAGTTCCTGGAGACGGGGGCCGAGAATAAGCTCCAGGAGCTCAGCAGCATTTACACTGAGTACCAGTCCATTCTCACCCCAGACCTCAGGGTAAGGCCCCGCCTCCGTCTTCCTTGGTGCCTGGGGTGGGAGACGGGCACTGGAGGGCAGCGTAGTGGCAGGCCATCGAGTAAGCTCCCCTCAGTACAGACCCGTTTCCCTGCTGCCCTGGACAGCGCCTCCTCTCCCGCCCGGACACCTGCTGTGGGCCGAGTCCTTCGCGAAGTCGCACTCTATTGGGAGCCCACTGAGGCCAGCTGCCCCTCCACACGAGGCACCTTCTTGTGCACCTGCCCTCGTGCGCCCAGGGAGCCACTTCCCAGGGTGGCCTTCAGATGTCCCAGAAGGCTCCCAGAGCCTTCCAGCCCACTTTGCTCTGGGCCCAGCGTCCCCAGTTCCCTAAGCTGGTTTCAGACCTGCCACGCCAGGGCGGTCGGGCCAGGAGAGCGGGTTAGGGACGGCACACGGTGGGTGCCCGTGCCGAGGCCCGCGCTGCACTGCTGGCAAGTCTGCGCGCTATGGTGCGCAAAGCCCGCGGTTGGCGGTGTCGTTCCAGGAGCATGTGCAGAAGGTCTTCCAGAAGCAGGAGAGCACAGAGCAGATGTTCCACCGCAGGAAGGCCAGCCTGAGGAAGCTGGCAGCCAAGCAGACACGGCCTGTGCAGCCCGTGGCCCCTCGGCCGGAGGCGCTCACCAAGTCGCCCTGCCCCTCCCCGGGTACGTGTGGTGGCCACCTTGGCCTGGGCAGAGGGAGCCCTGGGCCCCGGAGGGGTGGGCCTGGCGCGGCAGCCGAGGAGGCTCATAGCCTCCTGGAGAGGCCTCCCATTTGCCCGGCCCAGGGCAAGGCGTGGCTCACGGCCACGTCATTCCCACGGTGACACTGTGGGGGCAGCGGCGCTCACATCTGCCATGTGCCACATCAAGGTGTGTGGCCCGGCCAGGAACATGCCAACTGCCGCAGATTTGCCCAACCCGGGCTCCCTGACCACTGTTCTTGCCGCGGGCCCCCAGCAGCCCTGTGCCCCAGAACTGTCCAGGTGCCAGCCAGGCTGCAGGACACTCTCATCTGCCCGCCCTCCTCCCTGAGGCCTTCCCTGACTGCCCCTCACGGCACCTCTCCGCCTCCCGGGGTTTGGGCAAAACTCCCGCCCCGCAGGGTCCTGGAGACTCAGCGAGACCAGACGTCTGGCAGGGACTGCCCCAGGATGTCCCAACCAGGCCCCCCACATCTTCCCCGAGCACACCCAGGGCAAGGCCCAGCGTCTCCACCCCCACCTCTCTGCACAGGTGGCTGGCGTGGGACTGAGTACCCCAGCTCTGAGGGCAGTGCGCTCCGGAGAGGGCCCTACCGGAGGGCCAAGGTAAGGCCCGCCTGCGGCGCCTGCCTCTCGGCGTCCCACACACCTGGGACTCAGTGTGCGAGGCTGCCCCAGTCGCTGCTCGGCCTGACCCACCCTCCTGTCTCCAGAGTGAGGTGAGTGACGGGCCGACCCGGAGCAGCTCGGCAGGAGACGAGGAGGAGAGCCTGGCCATCCTGCGGAGGTGAGAGCCTGGCGGGGCTGGCGGGGCAGGCGGGGCCGCCTCGGAGACGCCAAGGGTCGGTGCAGAGGTGCAGCGTGTGCCTGCGTGGGACAGACGCTGACCTGGAAGGGGGAGAAGCCGACATTTCTCTCGGAAGGTCACGCTGTGCCCCTGCCAAGGAGCCAGATGTGAGGGGCCTCAGGCCCCACCCCCATGCTCAGGGCCCCCGTTCTGAGTGTGCAGGGCTTGGCCAGGGCCCTGTGTCTATGGCGGCCAAGTTCCCACACCTTGCCGGATGGCCTCTGGCACATGGGGACCGCTCACGGTCCCCTCTCCACTGCTCCACTGCCTCCTCCCCACGCCTGGCCACCTCTGCTGTCCTCACTCCTGGCCAGGTGCTCCCTCCCTCCGCCCTGCACGGGCGCCCTGGGCTCACCCCCCTCAGGGCTGCCCGTAGCCCCCGGAGGACCTTCTGCCAGCCAGGCCCAGCTGCTCCCCACAGCCACAGCTCACACCTACACACCCTGAGGTCGTCGCCAGCCCAGCCTCTGACCTGCCCGCCCATGCCCGGTTCTGTGAGGTCTCCGGAGCGAGGCCCCGTGTCTGCTCGGTTGGTGCTGGGGCTCCCACAGTGGCCTTCGCCCACCCGCCGCGGCGGGGGGGGGGCGGCCGGGGAAAGACGGGGGCTCCCAGGCGCCTCCCCGCCCCCGCCGCGGGGGGTGTGGGCAGCCAGGAAGAAGACTCGGGCGTGGGCGTGAGCACCCGGGCAGGGACCGATGCCACACAGGCTCTTGGCGGCCCTCCCGGCCCCCGTGCTGTCGAGGGCCCCACCAGCCTCCATATCGCCCAAGCACACCAGCACCTCGTTAATGGCTCTGGGTGAAGTGAGGTGACTTCTGCTGTCGTCACCTCCCCAGCTGGCCCTCCTCGAGCAGGAACCATGCCCCCCGTCCTGGCCCAGCACCACCTCTGTAGAGCCCTGACCGCGTGGGGCCTCCGGGTGGCAGAACGTGGCTGGCAGGATTGGCAGCCAGTGGTCTGGGTTTGAAGTAACTGCATGTGGGCAGTGGCTGGCGTGGCGGGCAGTGGGCTCGCAAACCCTCTGGCTCCCTGGGGTCCTTAGTCCAGAATTTAAGGCACATCGTACAGATGGGACCGCAGACCCCTTGGTTGGTCCCCTTTGGGACCAGGACATGCAAACACGCAGCGTCACGTGGGAAGGCCCAACAGGAGAGGCGGCGAGGCCCAGGCCCTCCGGGAGGCAGGACACGTGCTGGGCAGCAGGCAGCCCACGCCGCGGCCTTCTGCTGGCCTGCTCTCAGTCCGTGCACGAGCACACCGCCACGCCCCGCGTCACCGTGGCTCGAGGTGGATGGGAGAAGAGGCCCGCTGACCCACGGGCCGGCAGGGTCCAGGATGTGCCCGCCCCACAGCTGTGCCTCCCCAGGGGACACAGGGCAGAGCAGAAGCTGGGGGGCAGCCGCGGCACCCACGCCCTGCCCCTGCTGCCTTCTGGGGAAGTTCACAAGATGGAGGTCGAGGGGCTTCCAGAGGGAGCCCCCAGACATGCAGAAGGGCACCTTGGCTGCCCAGTCCGTGGCGTGCGGAGCTCCAGGCCTGCTATGTCCCCTTGAACCTGTACCGCGGGCCGCTGGGTGTGCTGAGCAAGCTCAGTGCCCTGGGCCCCGGGACTGACCGAGCTGCTGTGGGTGAGGACAGGCCACCACGGCCACCCCGCTCCATGAAGCAGAGGCCACCGGGTCACAGCAGGGTGGCAGTGCTGACTGCATGGCCCTGCAGCTGCTGTGGGGATGCGAGGGTGGGGCCACTGGCCAGGAGGCAGCGGCCAGGCCTGGGGGCTGGGGTGGGGCTGTGCAGGCCGTCTCACACAGGAGAGGGGCGTGACCGCCCACACATACAGGCGAGGCCGGGGGAGGCAGCGAGTTGCTGGGAGGCCCCGTGGCCCCCACATCCCAGCTGCAGGGCCATGAGGCCAGGCCTGGGGGACAGGGCCAAGGGGCAAGCGGCCTAGACCCCATCCCCACTGAGCAGCCATTTGCCTCGCTATGCCCACCCACACCCAGCTCTAACCCCCGTCCACGCTGTCCGCAGGCACGTGATGAATGAGCTCCTGGACACTGAGCGTGCCTACGTGGAGGAGCTGCTGTGCGTGCTCGAGGTGAGGCCAGGCAGGGATGGGCAGGGCCGGGCAGGGCCAGGCAGGGCCGGGCGGGGCAGCTCCGCCCACTGCCCCGCCCACAGCCCCCCAGGAGGCAGGACAGGGTCACAGACAAAGGTGGCCCTGCGGGGTATGCGCTGAGGACAGGGCTCCTTGCAGGGAGCGGTGGGTGAAGGGCTCCCGTGTGGGAATTTCGGGAGCAGGCAGGGCAGGTGGAGCTGACTGGTCGGGGGTCTCTCTGGCTGCGGTCTGGCGGCACGGCAGCCCCTGGGTCGTTCTGGGTCCTGGAGTGGCAGTAGCCGTGAGTGTGGACGTATTTTCACACCCAGCTGTACTCCAAGACCGGGCCTTTTCAGGGCGAGGAGGAGGAGGAAGGTGGGGCCCCCATCCCCACATCCACTTCTATTTGGGGTCGGGGGACCGTGTACTGGAGCTCAGGCAGCTGTGTGCCTGCCGGCGGTCCGCACCCCAGGGCTGCGCATGGCCGCTGCCTGGCGTCCAGCCCTCGCATGCTGGTCTCGCTGCAGCCAAGGATCTGTGCTGACACGCCCCGCCCCGCCCCGCCCCGCAGGGCTACGCAGCAGAGATGGAGAACCCCCTAATGGCACACCTCATCCCCTCAGGCCTTCACAACAAGAAGGGGGTTCTGTTCGGCAACATGGAAGAGATCTACCACTTCCACCACAGGTGGGCTCGGGCCGCCCACCCCATCTCGCACCGCCCTGGGCCATGCTTGGCTGGAGGGAGGGACTCACAGAGGGCCACAGGCATGTTCACCAGGCCGACCTGTGCCCCGATGCGCCTGGCTCCGGGCTCGAGCACCTGGGAGTGCCACCTGCAGGCACACGGAGCCGGCCCGCCCACGTGTGCCTCTGCAAGGCCTCTTCCCCCACGTGACATGCTTGGTGATCATCCCCGAGTTGGGCGAAGGCCGCTTGTCCCCGGAGACCGACCAGCTCCCTGCTCTCGGCAGTGGGCCCCCAGCACTGCTCCCTAGCCACCACTGCACGCCACTCCCCTTACCGCTGTCCACGAGGCCACCTGGGTGAGGTCGTGCTGAGAGAGACACAGCCGTGTGTCCTGGGGACAGGGCAGGTGTGTCCCCTGCTCCACAGTGCCCAGCCGGCCACAGAGCAGGGCCATGGGCCTCTGGCTACACCTCGCCCAGGTGGATGAGGAGCCTTCTCCCTCGGAGAGGGTGCAGAGGCCTTGGCGCGGCCCCGGGGTTGTTAGCCACAGAGCCAGTATCCCCACTGGCCTCCCAGGCAGCTCTGCGCTCTCTCAGGGACCCTGGGGCCGAGAGCTGGTCAGAGTGTAGACGGAAACTCGGCTCACGCGTGTGCGCTGCTGCCTGAGGGCCCAGTTTGGGCTCAGGGCTCTGGCCTGGAACCACACAGCGCACCACATGCCCAGGACCACGCTGGGGCCGGGGCGCAGCACCCTGACTGTCCCACCATGGGCCTTACCTCGTCTGCTGGGGAAGGAGCCTTCTCCAACCTCTGTCACCACCACCAAGGCGTGGGATCAGCCAGGTCACGTGGCGGTGGGACAGGTGTGGGCTGCTCCGGCAGCGTGGTGGGGGGCACAGTCGTGGGCCATGTTCCTGAGAGAGTGGCAGGGTAGGGACAGGCCTGGGCCGCATCTGCTCACCCCGAGAACGTGGTGGGGTGGCAACAGGCCTGGGCCATGGTCCCAGGACCACTGGGGGACGGGCATGGGTTGCGTCCCCAGCAGCGTGGCAGGGACAGGCATGGGCCAAGGGTCCCTGGGAGCATGGTGGGGGGGGCGGGCATGGGCCACGCCATCGCTGCGACTCCTGGCTGCAGCGTGAGGTCTCCTAAGAAGTGTCACCTACGGATTTTGCCACGAACGCGCCACCGTGGCCGCCCCCACACAGCTTAAGGAAGCGTCTGTGTGCAGGGTCTTCCTGAGGGAGCTGGAGAGCTACCTGGACTGTCCGGAGCTGGTCGGGAGGTGCTTCCTGGAGAGGGTAGGTGTGGGGCTCGTGGGGCTCTGCGGGCCTGTGTTCTCGAGGCCCCCGGCCCCCCCTCCCGGGCCACTGCTTCTGGCTTGAGGTCTTGCCCTGGCTCAGTCACCCTCACCGCCAGGTGACACTGGAGCCTTGTTTACTGCTCTGTGGTGGGACCAAGCACGGGGCCCTGTGGGCAGGCTTCAGAGGCTGAAAGGGCTGAAGCCCTGGACTGGGACCTCAGGAGCAAGGGAATGCTGCTGGGGGGTGGGGGAGGGCGCCTGAGCTCACAGCGAGGGAAACAAGACGTCACCCAGGGCGGCCAAGACACGCCTTCCAGGACCCAGGGATGGGTCTAGTCTGTGTGGACCCGTGGTTCACCTGCTCACCGCAATAGGGGCTGAGGGGCTGGTGGTGGAACCGGGCGGACACCGTGGGCAAAGGGGAGACCACTGCCGGGGGACCGAGCGCGAGGGTGCGAGCCTACCTAGCATTCGGCTACATGGAATTAAGCACAGTTTGAAACCAAGGACCTCTTTCCAGAATGCTCTATTTACTACTTGGGTACTATCGGGGTTACAGCTGGCCAAGGGTAAGCACAGAGGGCTGGGGACAGGGGTCTGTAAAGCCGCAGACCCGCACGGCAGGCCCGCGGTGCCGAGTAACGGCCGAATCCCGGGAGGCGCGGCCAGAGCGGTCCTCGGCAGTGGCTGTCTGGGGGCCTTGCAAGCTGGCAGTGGGCTGTCGGGAGGAGGCGGAGCCCCGGCAAGGGGCAGGCTGCCAGCCTCTCAGGGGCCCTGGGGGGCACGCCACTCCCCTTACCGCTGTCCACGAGGCCACCTGGGTGAGGTCGTGCTGAGAGAGACACAGCCGTGTGTCCTGGGGACAGGGCAGGTGTGTCCCCTGCTCCACAGTGCCCAGCCGGCCACAGAGCAGGGCCATGGGCCTCTGGCTACACCTCGCCCAGGTGGATGAGGAGCCTTCTCCCTCGGAGAGGGTGCAGAGGCCTTGGCGCGGCCCCGGGGTTGTTAGCCACAGAGCCAGTATCCCCACTGGCCTCCCAGGCAGCTCTGCGCTCTCTCAGGGACCCTGGGGCCGAGAGCTGGTCAGAGTGTAGACGGAAACTCGGCTCACGCGTGTGCGCTGCTGCCTGAGGGCCCAGTTTGGGCTCAGGGCTCTGGCCTGGAACCACACAGCGCACCACATGCCCAGGACCACGCTGGGGCCGGGGCGCAGCACCCTGACTGTCCCACCATGGGCCTTACCTCGTCTGCTGGGGAAGGAGCCTTCTCCAACCTCTGTCACCACCACCAAGGCGTGGGATCAGCCAGGTCACGTGGCGGTGGGACAGGTGTGGGCTGCTCCGGCAGCGTGGTGGGGGGCACAGTCGTGGGCCATGTTCCTGAGAGAGTGGCAGGGTAGGGACAGGCCTGGGCCGCATCTGCTCACCCCGAGAACGTGGTGGGGTGGCAACAGGCCTGGGCCATGGTCCCAGGACCACTGGGGGACGGGCATGGGTTGCGTCCCCAGCAGCGTGGCAGGGACAGGCATGGGCCAAGGGTCCCTGGGAGCATGGTGGGGGGGGCGGGCATGGGCCACGCCATCGCTGCGACTCCTGGCTGCAGCGTGAGGTCTCCTAAGAAGTGTCACCTACGGATTTTGCCACGAACGCGCCACCGTGGCCGCCCCCACACAGCTTAAGGAAGCGTCTGTGTGCAGGGTCTTCCTGAGGGAGCTGGAGAGCTACCTGGACTGTCCGGAGCTGGTCGGGAGGTGCTTCCTGGAGAGGGTAGGTGTGGGGCTCTGCGGGCCTGTGGTCTCGAGGACCCCGGCCCCCCCTCCCGGGCCACTGCTTCTGGCTTGAGGTCTTGCCCTGGCTCAGTCACCCTCACCGCCAGGTGACACTGGAGCCTTGTTTACTGCTCTGTGGTGGGACCAAGCACGGGGCCCTGTGGGCAGGCTTCAGAGGCTGAAAGGGCTGAAGCCCTGGACTGGGACCTCAGGAGCAAGGGAATGCTGCTGGGGGGTGGGGGAGGGCGCCTGAGCTCACAGCGAGGGAAACAAGACGTCACCCAGGGCGGCCAAGACACGCCTTCCAGGACCCAGGGATGGGTCTAGTCTGTGTGGACCCGTGGTTCACCTGCTCACCGCAATAGGGGCTGAGGGGCTGGTGGTGGAACCGGGCGGACACCGTGGGCAAAGGGGAGACCACTGCCGGGGGACCGAGCGCGAGGGTGCGAGCCTACCTAGCATTCGGCTACATGGAATTAAGCACAGTTTGAAACCAAGGACCTCTTTCCAGAATGCTCTATTTACTACTTGGGTACTATCGGGGTTACAGCTGGCCAAGGGTAAGCACAGAGGGCTGGGGACAGGGGTCTGTAAAGCCGCAGACCCGCACGGCAGGCCCGCGGTGCCGAGTAACGGCCGAATCCCGGGAGGCGCGGCCAGAGCGGTCCTCGGCAGTGGCTGTCTGGGGGCCTTGCAAGCTGGCAGTGGGCTGTCGGGAGGAGGCGGAGCCCCGGCAAGGGGCAGGCTGCCAGCCTCAGGCGGCCTGGCGCTGCCCGGCCACCGTCAGCGAGGCTGAGGGAGACAGCCCCAGCCCAGGCCGCCCACCCCAGCCTGTTGGAGGGGCACACAGCCCTCGGCGGCATCCTGGCTCAGGCAGTAAAGAGACAGTGCTCAGGGGTGGCTCTAGGGCTGAGGCCAGGCCAGGAAAGCCTGGAGTGACCCACAGATGCTGCTCGTGAGTAGCCCAGCCTGTCGTCCATGCTCAAAACGAGCCTGGAGAAAAGGAGAAAGGACCCCCAGACCTGCCCCACGTACCCGGAGCACTTGTGCCCCAGACATCCGCCACCTGGGGCTTCAGGGCCCCTGTGTTGTTGTTGTTGTTTTTTGAGAGGTTTTTGCTATAGGGCGTGTGCGCTCGCCAGACAGACAGAGAGAGACAGAGAGACAGAAAGCAGGAAATCACCCCCCAGGGGGGATGGCCACGCCGCAATCCCTTCTCCTCCACTCTCCTCTCGGGATCTTGGGCACGCACGCACACACGCCCGGCGTGAGTTTAAGCCACCGGGTCCGGGACTTGAACCACGGTCGACTACGTGGGAGTCCAGCGACATAGCCATTACGCTAACTGCTTGTCCCGAGGGCCCCTGTGTTTTAAACAGGGCTCAGATGTTTTCTGTTTGGGTTCGGGCACATGAACGCTGCAGGGGAGAGCCGGGGCGTTGGGGTGAATGAGCACACACCAGGCAGCCCTCACCTCCTGGGAAGGACCAGCAGAGGCCCCACGCACACACCTGTGTCTGGGGCGCTCAGCGGGGCTGGGGCTCCACCACAGTAAGCGGCAGGCCAGAGGGCGTGTGAGCGAGCAGAGCCCCAGCATGGGCTGGGCGGGCTGTGAGGCCGCGGTGTCCTCTGCAGATGGAGGACTTCCAGATCTACGAGAGGTACTGCCAGAACAAGCCGCGCTCCGAGAGCCTGTGGAGACAGTGCTCCGACTGCCCCTTCTTCCAGGTGCGCCGTGCTGCCCGCGTGGGCTGCCGTGCTCCCTCCGAGTGCTCCCTGTGGGCTCCCCCTGCACGTGCTCCCCGTGGCGGGAGGACGCCCTGGGGTGGAGGCAGGTCTAGGGCACGGCCCCCTTGCCGCAGGAGTGCCAGAGGAAGCTGGACCACAAGCTGAGCCTGGACTCGTACCTGCTGAAGCCGGGGCAGAGGGGCACCAAGTACCAAA